GTGTCTGTGGTTTGCAGTCTGCAATAAGCCGTGACTGCACGCCCGGCCCAAGGCCCACTGAGTCACTGGGCCTGGCCCTCTAATTTGGGGGCCACTCCCAGACCAGCCAGGCAGCACCTAAGTCCTGGGCTCCCCTCCCCCTCTCCCTCCTCTTCTCTGGTGCCTCAGCTCTCTCTGCAACAAAGGAACAACTTGGACCCTAGCTGGTGCCCACTGGGAACAGCATGTCCTTGCTGGCTGGTGGGAGGCCAAAGGACAGGGCTGGGAGGAGGCAGGAGGAGGCCTGGGGGGGGGGGTGGGCAGGCCTTGAGGGGGCCAGGCAGGAAGGAAGAGAAGGCATTTCCTGAGGCCCCAGGCTGCGGAGGAGGCCGGGGCACAGCTGTCTGAGCTTCAGAAGAATGAGAGGCAGACAGTGCTGGCCGGGTCCTGGTGGGCGCCTGAGAAGGGGTGGGGGTGGAGGGGAGGCAGAACCTGTCCCCCATCAGGATGAACCTAAGGGCGACCAGGATCCTCTCCCAGCATGCCCCGCGCCTCTGGGACACCACCAAACAGGCCCCCTAGAGCCACACCCTAGACACTTCCCCCAAAGGGCTGCAGAGGCCCCGGTGATCCTGCTGGAACCGACTAGCCACTCAGCCCAGACTCCCCTCCCCTCTCCCACTGCAGGCGCCTTCATACCGTGTTTCCCCGAAAATAAGACATCCTCCTAAAATAAGACCTAGCGCAACTTTGGGAGAAAAAATTAATATAAGACACTGTCTTATTTTCGGGGAAACAGGGTAGAAAGCCCTGCTGCCAGAAGGAGCCAAGAACTTGACCTGAGAAGGAGCCCAGTGGCCGGTCAGGCTTCCTGGGAAAACCCCCCGGCCATACTGCTGGCTGCCTGCTCTCACATGGCCTTTGTGGGGTCACTGCTGCCCCGACCTACTGCCCAGTACCAGCCTGGGGCCCCATAATGCAGGGCAGGTGCGTCAAAGTATGGAGGTGGTAGGAGGGGGCAAAGGGCAGGGTCATAGCTGGGGCGGGGCAAAGGGCAGGGTCATAGCTGGGGTAGGGAAAACCCCAGACAGGGCAATCCAAGGCCATTGCCACCCTATAGGCCTGTGTGTGGAGAAGGGCCTGGGGCCAGCTGCAGCCTGTCCCCCAACAGCTGGTTTGCAGCTGTTCGTGCCCTGGCTCCAAAGCTAGGGGAGGCCCAGGAGAGAAGTGGGGCGCCTGGAGGGCAGGTTTCAAGCCGTTGGTCCCCAGTAGGAGCAAAAACTGGCCTTGGTTCTAGTGTTTGCAGGGCAGAGCGTGGGAGTCTGGGAAGTAGCCCAGTGGGTGGGACACCCAGGGGCTCAGAGTGAGAGACCTCTGCAGAGGTGACAGCAGTGAGAGTTTCCCCTGAAATCCAGCCCACCCAGCTGCTGGTCCCATGAGCCTCTGGGGCCTGGACAGAGCTGCCAGCGTGGAGCTCCAGGGGCCCTCTGCCAGCCTCGTTCTGGGGCCTTCCTGGCCTCCTGGCCCTGCTAGGTCCGGCTGGCTTCCTGCCTCTTCCTGCCTCTGCAGATCGCTCCCCCTGTCTATTCTTTCTGCTTCCCCACTGCTTTCTCGGGTCTCCCCTCTGCCTCTTTCTCTCATCCGTGGGCGCTGAGTCCACCAGCCTTGACTTCTATAGAGAGTGCATGTGCTGTTGAACTAGAAGCAACATGGAGACCAAGTGCGGTGAGTGCTCCAAAGGAAATAGCACGGGTTTAGGTGCTGGCATGGGAAGGGGGCACATGGAGGGCTTCTAGGAGGAGGCGGCTCTCCTGCCTCCCAGCTCCTCCCCAGAGTGTCCGCATAGGACTCTGGCAAAGCAGCCCAGCACAAGGAGTCTTGCCCAAGGGAGTCCCCTTACACTCTAGCCTCCAGGACAAATCCCCAAGCGGGAACACATCACACACACATCAAGGTCATTTCTTGAGCAAGCGGCCTTGTCCTGAACTCCGCTGAGATCTCTGAGAGAGCCCTCAAGGCTCCCAGGCACTGCAGCCCCTGAACCCAAGCCTGTGTCCTCAAGCTCATGGCCTTATGTGGGCCACACTCACAACTGGCGGGCCTCATCCGCCCCCAATCTCTGCACTCTCAGGGGCCAGGCAGGGGAGAAGGAGGGCCAGGCCCATAGTCACCAGGGGGGCAGCCCCCACCTCAGGGCCCCTGGAGCCTAGCGTTGGGACATCCAGGAGCCCCAAATGGATAAGTTATGCTCAGGGGACCCTCTGGGTGAAGGGGTCTGGGACCAGTCCCCGAGAGGCTTGTGCTAACATGCTCAAGGGGGAGCCGAGTGGTTGTGGAGCGGCCGAGCCTCCACGATCTGGAAGCTTCCCAGTGCCGATGGCCGAGGTGTGGCCGGTGAAAGCTGGCACTCTCTATGCCAGAGCTTTTTTTGACCTTCCCTGAGGACATAATCACACAGTGGCTCTCCGCCCAGCACTGCCAGGGCTGTAATTTCAGGGCCTGAAGGGGGCTCTGTGCAGGCTGGCCTACGACTAGCTATCTTTAGAGAGGCACGGTCTGGGTGTGGCCAGACGAGGGATGGCGGACAGGGGCTGTGCCACGGGGAGGCAGCCATCTGTGCTAATCGCCTTAGAAACCTGGGAGACACAGTTGCCGTGAGACACCCCGGGGGCCCCCATGGTCTTTCCCTGGGGGAGGCCAGCCCCTAGGAGCTGTGCTCAGATCTGCGAGCTGCCTGCAGGGTAAGGGGGCTCAGGTGGGGGCGGTGGGGGAGGGTGGGTACAGGGGATGGGGGCCTTGCAGCTAGTGTCTCCTGGCCTGGCCCTGGGTGGCCGCCAGGGTGGGGGAGGCGTGGCCTAGGGCATATGACCTTCGATTCTTGTCTATCCTTTGCCTCCCTCTGCTCCGTATCCTCCTTCCTGGGCCTGTGTCTCTGGATTTGGGAGCTGGAACCAAGCTTGCCTCGACGTGGGGTGTGAGGCAGCAGGAAGGCACGGGACCGGATGTGCAGGAGGCGAGGCAGGGGACCTGCGAAGGTTGGCCCTCAAGTCAGGGCACTGGGGACGGAGAGGAACAGGCGGGTTGGAGAATTTGGAGGACGATGGGCAGGGCTCTGGGTCTGTGGCTGGGGGTAGAGGTTCAGACATGCAAAGGTTTATTTATTGTTTGTTAATCCTCACCTGAGGATTTTGTTCCATTGATTTTTAGAGAGAGTGGAAGGGAGGGGGAAAGACACACAGAGAGAAATATTGATGTGAGAGAGACACGTTGATTGGTTGCCTCCCGCACTTGTCATGACTGGGGCCAGGGATCGAGTCTGCAACTGACGTACATGAACTTGACCAGATTTGAACCCGGGACCCTTCAGTCCGTGGGCCAATGCTCTATCCGCTGAGCCAAACCATAGGGCAAGATGTGCAAGTTTCCATTGAGGTCCCTGAGAGGAGACATCAGTCCAACCCCAAAGAATGCAACACTTCTCCCTGTCCTCATGTCGCTCCTCACATTTGTTAGATTGTGTTCCCCTCCCAGTCCCCACTGACACCCCCCTACCCCCTCCTACCCTTGTCTCAATCCAGGGGCCGATGAGTGCCTCCCTACCCCAGTTACTCCTACCCTGCAGTCACCATCACAGTTACCAGTGTCCCCCCAGATCCCCACCAATGGAGCCAGCACCTGCCCTGAAGGGGGACACAGTACCTATCCTCATGCAGGTATGTGTGAGCAGAGGATGGGGGTTGGCGCATGCATGGAGAGTAGGCAGGCACCAGGTGACAGGCAGGCAAGGTCCTGCCACCAGATGTCCACAGCACTGCACTCGCTCTCTTGGCTGGGTTCTGTCTAGGATGTCCCTGGCTGGACTGTTGACCATCCCCTAAACTCCGTGTAGGCTAATCCTCCCCTCAGCAGTTGGCTTCCCAGGAGGCTCTGCTGTCCCGGCTGCCTTGGGCCTGGCTCCCTTCAGGGGATCACCCAAAGGATTGGCTTCTGGGCTTGGGTTCAGCCCACCTGCCAACAGCCCCAGAGGCCTAGCAGCTTCCTGTCTGGGAGTGGAATGAACCTGGCCACTACCTGTGGGCTGCCCGCTCCTCCATGCCCTGCCCTACCTCTGCCCTTATCCCCAGATGGCAGCCACATTACCCTGTCTTTCTCATCCAGGCCCTTGGACCTCATCCGCTCAGGGGAGGAAGAAGTGGGGGGTTTGTCCAGCCCCAAGTTCCTGTGCTCCCAGGGGCCTGACCTCTGTGTCTGTGGAGAAGGAGGCAGCTGGGGGGTAGCCAGAACAGGGGTGGGGAGGAGGGGTCATGAGAGCTGGGAAAGCAGCAGCCTTCCCCATCAGGGCCAGCGCCTCAAGGGCTGCTGACCTCTGACCCAGCCCAAACAGGAAGTGCCATATCTGTGGGCCCAGGCCGGGTTGGAGAAGGAATGCAGGGATGAGTCCAAAGCAAACACTCCGCCAGCTTCCCAGGCCTCATTCCACCCCCTGCCAGAGTCTGGCCTTTTGTCTGTTGAGGACTGGGGGAGGGGGTGGGGGTGGGTGGCTACAGAATGCGACCGATGTCAGGCTCACAGTTCCCAGGCCCAGACTACAGCCGGAGACAGTGGCAGGGCAAGGTCTCTGCAATGGGGACTTGGTGTCCTTCCTGCTTCACTCTTCCACAGCCAGCAGCGCTGAGGGCTGGGGCCGGTCCCGCTCCTACTGCATCCTTGATGCCTGTCACTTGGCTGCCTCCTCTCTCCCCCTCTGTCCTTCTCAGCACCATGTATGGAGGCATCATGAGCTGTCAGGGCTGACCCAGTGACCCCACCCTAGTCCTGGTGGCTCCCCTCGCACGGGCAGGGCAACTGCTCCAATGACCTCATGGGGCTTCATGGTCCCTGTGTCCCCACCCAGCACAGCTGGCCAGTCCTCTCCTCACGGCTCAGCAGGACTCACCACCACAGCTGGCCCGTGTCTGCGTCTGCCTCCCCCACCAGGCAGACAAGTCAGCAACTTTGGCCAAGGGACAGTGGCTGCTGGATCCCCAGGGCCAGGCCTGGCCTCCCAGAGACCAAGCACTCCTTTCCCAAGAGTTGTTGAGCAGATGCCACTCCCCACCCTTCCCTGGCACCAGGTTGCACCGGGGACATCTGGATCCCACAGCCTTGGTTGCCTGGGGGAGCTGGGAACCCACAGGCTAGCTTGGGGATGGGTGTGTGCCTGGGATGGGGGAATCAGGAGGAGGGCCCGGGGACCTTGAACAGGGGAAGAGGGTGAAGCAAGGTGTCCCTGGCCTGGGTGCAGTGGTAGATGTGGGCAGCTCCAGGACAAAGGGCCAGCATCACAGGCCTCCATGTCAGCCTATTCTGCAAGCTAAGACCATCTCTTCTTCTCCCCCACCCACCCCTTGGACAGGATGCTTCGTGGATGACAGGCACTGATGCTGCTCTGAGCAACAGAGGCCAGCCTGGCCCCCAGATGGCTTGGGGACTTCAGGACCCTGGCCAGGGCAGATGAGGATGAGGAGGCTCTTGGAGAAGCTTCCAGAATCAGGCATTCTCAACCCCCTGCTGATGAAGCAATGTCCAGGATGTGGGCTCTGGGGACTCCACACAGTGAACATCCAGCATTCGCACGTGGCTTCGATCCAAGATGGAGGGTGGGTGGGGGGAGGCTTGCAGAAGACACATTTATTACGTTCAAGTCCGAACCAGCGCTGCACCTCACCGGGCTGGTTACTAAGTGAAGGGGCCTCAGCAGTCCATGGAAGAATCAGGGTGTTCTAGATCTTTCTCTAAGTGGTGCACAGATTAAGTGGACCTGGGCCTGAGCCCCTTTCTCCAGCCCCAAAGGATCAGGGAGGGGGGAGCCCAGCAGGAGGGAGGTCTAGGAGCCTTCCCCCTCCCCCTGCTGGGGCTGGAGGACCACACTGTGGTAGGCCCGGATGCAGGAAAAGGCGGTGGGTGGGATACGGCGCCTATCGATGAAGTTGTTCTCTAGGTGCGTGGAGATGAGGTTGGAGTCCTGGGCCGCTCGAGTGTCACAGATGGAATTCAGGGGCACGTGTCTGTGGAGTGGGGGTGGCAGGGCCGAACAGAGGAGAGAAGACCCCAGGAAGGGGAGGCATGCATCACACAAGAGTAGAGGAAGAGAGGGCCCCACAGTGAGGGGGCAGTGAGACCATTGTGCAGGGACAAGACCCTTGGGCAGAGGGCCAGACAGGTGGCTCAACCCTTGTTGCTCTGGACTGGAGCTGTCCTACCTGCCCCTTGCCCACCCCCTGCCCAGATTCTGTTGTATGTTGCCCTCCACCTGGGCACAGCCTCCTATCACACCAGCCAAGATGGGTAGGTGGGGGTGTGTGAAGGATTCCCCCACAGCCCCACCCTCAGCCTCTGAAGCTGCAGGGCCCATAGGCCAGCCCTCCTCAGCCCACCTGGTAGGCAGGGCCTGATGGCTCAGCCCTGGCTGGATGGGGGAGGGGGGAAACAGCAGGATGGGCGCAGGTGGGCAGCCCTACCTGATCTTGTTGTGGCTCAGACGCAGCACCTGCAGCCCCTTGAGGCTCAGCAGGCCTCGCGGGATGGCCTGCAGCTGGTTGTGATCCAGAAGCAGTTCTGCCAGGGAGGTGCGCAGGCCCCAGAAGGACACGTCATGGATGCCGTCAGCGCGCAGGCTGTTGTAGGACAGGTGCAGGAACTCCAGGCCCGGCTTCATGTGTGCGAACACGTAGCCGGGAATGCGCTCAATGTGGTTGTGGTGCAGCAGCAGGCGCCGGAGGCCTCGTGGCAGGAAGGAGGGGACGTGCACAAGTCGGTTGTGGGACAGGTCAAGGGTCTCCAGCTCCCTGTGGGGCACAGGGGTTCCAGGGGAGCTGATGGCACCCAGCCATAAGCACCAGAACAGCTGGAACCCAGATCACGGTCCCTGGGCCACACCCAAAAAGAGAGTAGGAATTTGCCCTCCCAGAAGACACAGCCCAGCTGGTGTAGCTCAGTGGTTGAGTGTTGACCTATGTATGAACCAGGAGGTCATGGTTTGATTCCCAGCCTGGGCACATGCCTGGGTTGTGGGCTTAGTCCTCAATGTGGAGTGTGCAGTAGGCAGCCAATCAATGATTCTCTCTCATCATTGATGTTTCTACTTCTCCCTTCCTCTCTGAAACCAATAAAAAAAATATATTCTATATAATAAAAGGCTAATATGCAAATTGTCCCCTTGCCAGGGGGTTCAACCAGGAGTTCAATTGGGAGTTCAATCAGGGGGCAGAGCTGGTTGGCCAACAGCCTGCAGCTCCTCCCCCCAGCTGGCCCTGCACTTCATCTCTCCACACACACACACACCCCCCCCCCCCCCCCCCGCCATTGGGAAGGGCTGGCCAGACCCCATCCATGCATGAATTTGTGCATCAGGTCTCTAGTATCCTATATAATAAAGTGGTGATATGCAAATTGACCCTCATGCCCTCATGTCACAAGATGGCCACCCCCATGTTGTCACAATATGGCTGCTCTCACATCATCACAAGATGGCCACTTCCACATTGTCACAAGATGGCCAGCAGGGGAGGGCAGTTGGTGGTGACCATGCCTGCAGGTGAGGGCAGTTGGGAGTGATCAGGCTGGCAGGAGAGCAGTTAGGTGTCAATCAGGCCGGAAGGGGAGTGGTTAGGGGGTTATTAGGCAGCCAGGCAGAGTTGTTAGGGGCAATCAGGTAGGCAGGCAGGCGAGTGGTTGGGAGCCAGCAGTCCCAGATTGTGAGAGGGATGTCTGACTGCCAGTTTAGGCCCAATCCACCAAGGGATCCCAGATTAGAGAGGGTGCAGGCTGGGCTGAGGGACACCCCCCTTCCAGTGCACAAATTTTGTACACCAGGCCTCTAGTATATATTTAAAGACACAGTCAGAGCTACATTGGACAATAAAGTACAAATGGAGGGGCCTGTTATCTGAGAAAAGAGCGAAAGAGCTGGGGGCAATTGAATTGTCACCTGCCTTTCCCACTTAGGCCTGTTCCTGCTTTGCCCTTCCTTGGCCCCACAGCCTCCTCCTTCCATCCTTACTCTCTTGTCCTCTTCCTGCCTTACTCAGGCTAAGAAGAGAGACAGGGAGGAAAAGAAAATCAATCTCTCAGAGGGCCAAGGCCTAGGGACCATAAGGGGTCAGGGAGGCAGGCAGTGAAGCTCAGGCCTCCGTGAGCCCAGGTCACTCCATGGTAGGTGAGAATAAGGGCCGGTCAGGGAGATGTGACTTCTCTCTCAGTGACATCCCCCAGCCCCTATAGGTGGGATCAGCCCTTTGGTCTTGGGGCCCATGCTGTCCTCAGGCCTCAGGGGCTGGGGACTCGGGTACCTCCAGAGCCTGTGGAGCCAGCAGCCCCCACCCCTTCCACGATCCAGGGAAAACGTGAGCAGTGCCAGCCAGGGTTTGACTGGTTGACTGGCTGCCAGCCTCTCCCCTCCTGAACCCCCCCTCACAGGCCCCTGTGGCGTGGCGGGAGTGGAACAGCAGCTGGGCGGCTCCTCCCCAGGCTGCTGTCTGCTTTCCTTTGCCCCCTTGGCAAGAACAGGAGAGGAAAAAGGAATAATTAAACCCAAACATTCTGGTAACTTTTTCCTGGAACACGAAGATGTGGGGCGGGAGGCTCTGATCCCTGCAATAGTAGGTTGGACTATCTGTCGACCCCTGTCTGTCTCTCCACCCCCACCCTGCTCCCTCAGTGCTGGTGTTAGTACCCAAGGATTGGACCCCACCAGCCCTCCTGCTGATCCCGGGACCATGTCCTGACTCCTGAGACAGTGCCTTTAAGGACCAGATCTCCTCCTGGACCCTTCCAGCCAGCACCCCAACCCCGATGTCCAAACCAGATCAGGGGATTCATCCTGGAATCTTCCTATAGTGGGATGAATAGTGGCCCCCAAAACATATGTCTACCCAGAACCTGTAAAAGTGATATTATTTGGCAAAAGGGCCTTTGTACACGTAATGAAGTCAAGGATCTTGAGATGCCATCATCCTGGATTAGCCTGGTGGGCCCTAAGTGAAATGTCAGGTGTCCTTGTAAGACACAGAAGTGAGACACAGAGAAGAAGCTACATGAAGACAGAAACAGATACTGGAGTGATGTGGCCACGAGCCAAGAACACCTGGACCCATCAGAAACTAGAAGAGGCAGGAAGGATCCTCCCCTGGAGCTTCAGAGGGAGCATGGCCCTGCTGACATCTTGATTTTGGGGCCCTGACGTCCAGAACCATAAGCGAGTCAATCTCTGTTGCTGTAAGTTGCCCAGTTTGTGGTAGTTTGTTACAGCCACCCCAGAACACTCATACATTTCTCTTTCCTGTGCCCCATCATCTCTTCCATGACTCTTCTTCCCTCTGTTGCCTCTTAGCTAAACCCAGTGTCAGGCCAGCTCTTACCACCTGCACTGCCCCTTCATCCAAGCCCATGACATCTCTTGGGTGAGCTTCCTGGATATCTGTAGGGCAAGTCCAGGCATGGGTGAGGGAAGGGGTTTCTGTGGCCTTGGGGACTCTGCCAGGTGGGAGACACAGGAAAATTGTGGAGGAGCAGGTGGTGGCTGAGGACCTAAGCCACCCTGAGCCCTGGGTGGAGAGACGGGTGACTCAGGTGACTCTCTGCCTTCCCACCTGATTCCCTGGGTTTATTTGAGCACTTCTTCCCTCTCTGGCCTCCAGGTGCCCATGGGGGTGAAGCTTGGGCAGTGCCAGGATGGTGGTGGTACTCACGGGAGGTCAATCCAAGCTCGGGGCGCCAGCCGGTCCTCCTGGAGCCGGTTGTTACTCAGCACCAGCACGCTGAGGCTGCAGCTGCGGTTCAGTGTGCGCTCTGTCACCTCCTCGATGACGTTGGCATCCAGGTGCAGCTCCTAGGGTCAAGGCTCGGGGTGAGGGGCTCACTCTCTGGTGGCCTGGCCCTGCTCCCTGCCCCCTTCCTTCTGGCCCTGTCTGTGGTACTTGTATGCCACAGTCTCTGCTCCTCTCAGGGCCACGGTCACCTGTGCAAAGGATCCCAGCGACATCTGCCAGTGAAGCCATGACTCTTCAGGGTCCCACAAGACACAGCCTCAGAGAATACCGCCAAGCACAGGGGACCATGTGGCCCAGAGAGGGCAAGGACCTTGCTCAGGGGCACCCAGTGGGTCCAGGAAAGTCCTGGAGGCCCAACTCTAGGCTCTTGGAAGGTGAGGTCAGGTGGAGGGGAGGCCTTTGGCGCTGAGGCCTTGTGGGTTTATCATCAAAATTCCTCCCATGGGCCCTAGCCAGTGTGGCTCAGTGGATAGAACATTGGCCTGTGGACTGAAGGGTCCCAGGTTCCATCCGGTCAGGGGCACATGCCCAGGTTATGGGCTGGATCCCCAATGGGGGGCGTGCAAGAGGCAGCTGATCTATGATTCTCTCTCATCATTGATGTTTCTATCTCTCCCTCTACCTTCCTCTTTGAAGTCAAGAAAAATATTTTTAAATAAATAAATAAATAATACCCCAATAGGCAGCACTATTAGCCAGCGGCAGATGCTCTGGTCATTTGGCCACGATTCTGCTTGTCCGGACTCAGGCCCGCATCTCACCTGCAGGGAGGCTGGTAGGCCTGGCGGGATGGTCCGCAGCCGGTTCCGGTCCAGCCTCAGGTATAGCAAGCTGCTCAGGGACCGGAAAGCCAGGGGGGAGATGTTCCCATCATGCAGCTGGTTTCCTTCCACCTCCAGCGTCAGCAGCTGGCTGAGCCCTGCAGGGTAGGTGGGCAGAGGGGCACCTGAGCCAACCGCAGAGCCACTGGGAGCTGCCTGCTGCTGCTGCCTCCTCTGCCCTTCTTCCAGGCTGCCCTGGGCAGCCCCCTCTCCTTTCCCTCCCACAGCTTTCCAAGGCCTCCATGGCTGCCCAGGCCTGAGCCCTTTGTTCCGTGCCCCTGGGGCTGCTCAAACCCTGGAAGCTGCTGTGCTGCAGTCCCTGCAGGTGGTTGTCATTCAGCTTGAGCTCCTGCAGCGAGGCGGGCAAGGCCGGCACAGTGGACAGCCGGTTTCCATCCAGGTTCAGCCGCTTTAGCCACGTCAGATTCTGGAAGTGGGGGGCGGGGAGAAGAAGGGGCTGGGGGCTGGTGTTCTTTGGGCTTATCCCACCCAGGGGCACACCTAATGGGTTGCATCACGGCTTCCTAGTCCCCCCGCTTAGATCAGGCCTGTCTGGGTTTCTAGAACCCGCCTTAGTTTCTCCCAGGACTGCTGTTCCCTCATGGAGCCCACAGATTTGTACTGCTCTCCACACTCCCAGCTATGGACTATGTCACCCCACATCATCCAAGCCCACCAGATACTCTGTGCTTCCTGTGGGCCTTGTCCCCCAGGCAGGGGCGGGTGAGGAGCCATGGATGCCTGGGACCATTTGGGACTGGCCCAGCCCGGCCCGGCCCCTGGGAGAGCAGGTGGCTGGGCTGCCGTGCACCTTATTTTTTTTTTAAAAAAATATATATATATTTTATTGATTTTTTACAGAGAGGAAGAGAGAGAGATAGAGAGTTAGAACATCGATGAGAGAGAGACATCGATCAGCCGCCTCTTGCACACTCCCTACTGGGGATGTGCCCGCAACCAAGGTACGTGCCCTCGACCGGAATCAAACCCGGGACCTTTCAGTCTGCAGGCTGACGCTCTATCCATTGAGCCAAACCGGTTTTGGCTGCTGCACACCTTGAAGGCACCAGGGTGCAGGCCTCGGGCATCCAGCTTGTTCTTGCTCAGGTCCAGCCACTCCAGGTTGGGCAGCCCCAGGAACGTGTGGGCTGGGATCTTGGCAATTTCATTCTCTGTGCACACACACAGGGCAGCCATGTTCCATGCGTCCTTGTCCCCCTCCCGTCTGCCACTTGGTACCTCCCCCACTCGGGCGGAGGCAGCCAAGACGCACTTAAAGGAGCTGGTTCCTCTGCTGTCCCAGGTCAGAGCATCTTCTCCCTCCCAACCAGGACCCATGGGAAAGGGAACTACTTCGGGGCACAGAGGGGTGGGGATGGGGTGGCTACACTGGCCGAGGACCCACTAGCGGAGTAGCCTGGAGGTGCGGCTGCCTCACCCCTGCTGTAGGAGTGAGTGTGGGGCAAGACCACTAACCTGCCAGGTAGAGCGTGGTCAGGCCAGGGTCAGTCAGGGCAGGGATGTGTTTCATCTTGGCATTGCCACAGGCGATGGCCGCCTGGGCCAGGACGCATGAGGCTGGCAGGGAGGGCATGGGCTGCTCCATGGTGCCTGGGTCCGCAGGCCCATGCCTATGCCTTCGCCTGCTTCCGGGCCTTCTCCGCCCACGGCCTGCGGTGTCTAGGATGCTGCTGCCACCGCAGCCTCGATTGCAGTCCTTCTTCTGTCGCCAGCCCCTTGGGCCACGGTGGTGGGGGGTCCCTGGAGAATAAGATGCAGCCCCAGCCCAGTCACATAGCAACAAAGGCCCACTGAGGGGCAGGGCCTTGCCCGGGGCCCTTAGATTTGCCAGCAGCTTGCCAGATGGGCTGGAACACAGGGCCACCCTGGGCACCAAGGGTAAAGACCCAAATTAGAGCTGAGGGTGCCTTAGAGAGCTCCCCTCTGGCCCCACACGCCAGGGTCTATGAGAGTGGGGCAGGTCTCAGTGGCTGGTGACTCTGGTGTGATCAGTAGCTGTTGGACCAAGTCTTGGCCTCTTCGGACTCACGCACAGCCTGTCCCCGCACCCCCCACAGTTTCACCTGGGGGCTGCCCGTCCTGGCCAGTCTCACCTTTGAGGTGCGTCCTGGGCTTCAGGCCCCTTCTCCTAGCCTCCCAGCCTCCTGCCTTCCTGTCCCAGCCTCTCAGCAGCCACTGTGGCCTCTTGCACTGGAGGGAGGAGGGAACGGGGTCTCGCCGGTCCTCAGGGACCTGAGTTTGGCCACCTGACGCCTGCTGCCTCAGCCCCCACTGCAGCTTCAGCCTGGGCGGGGCCTGCTCTTGCTCTCAGGCTACTTGGGATCACTCCTCTGGGCCGCCCTGGCCTGGCAGGGGCCTGGCTGGGTCTGGGGGCTGGGTGGGGGCTCCTTGGAGGTGGGCCACGCCTGTGCCCAGTCCAGCTGCCCGTCCTCAAGCCTGTGCCAGCCACTGTTCATGGGAATGGGTTGCCTCTGCAGATGGAGCCAGTTCAGGCTGGGGTGGCCAGGACCCCTGAATGGCTGACAGGCCACACCTCCTTCTCCATAGCTGGGGGTCAGCTACAGGCTGGAAGCCCTCTTACTTTATTTTTTTAAATCCTCACTTGAGGGTATTTTTTCATTGATTGTTTGTTAGAGTGGAAGAGAGAGGGAAAGATAGAGAGAGAAACATTGATGTGAGAGAGAAACATGGATCAGTTGCCTCCTGCACGAGCCCCAACCAGGGCCCAGGCCAGGGAGGAGCCTGCAACTAATGTACATGCCCTTGACAGAAATCGAACCTGGGACCCTTCTTTCTGCAGGCCGACGCTCTATCCACTGAGCCACACCAGCTAGGGCTCTCTCCCTCTTTCTTTCTGTGCCCAGGCCTCACTTCTGCCTTTCTATCCTCTCCAGGAGCTCCCATCCTCTTGTCACTGACCCCCAGGGCCATCAAGTGTCAGAGATTTCCTGGGCTCCTCCCCATCTTTTCATGGCCCCAGTGTAGGGAGTCACCCTGCCTGCTTCTCAGGACTGAGGCAGCTCTTTACTGCTGGGGACGCTCCATCCTATCAGGGCAAGGCACAGGGAGGAGGGAACGGGGTCTCCCTGGGGTGGGCTCAGGAGGGCTTCAGTGGCCTGGGCAGAGGTTCTGGGCCTGCTCCTATGCCTCCGGGGCCCTGTGGGTGCTGCCTGGACAGGAGGGTGGGCAAAGCCTCTGGAGATCCGAAGGGGTCGCTGCCACCTGGCAGCTTGCTTTCAGAAGTGGGAGCCCCAGTGCCTGCTGGGAGGGAAGCTTGCTGGGGGCAAGGCAAGCCCGGAGGCCACTTAAAGGGGCCATCAGCCATGGCTAAGGAGGGGCAATAGCCCCCAGGCCTCCCCTCCACTGCGTGGCAGTCCCGTTTAAACAGTACTGACCATAAGCCTCCCTGCAGGTCCACTCCTGGCCCTTCCTCCCCACCTCCAGGCCTGGGGATGGACCAACAACCACTGGCCACACCATAGCTGATTTCCCTTGTGCTACCCCACCCCAGCCCTGGGCCCCCCACTTCCAACCTCTATGTTTCTCTCAGTCTCCCCAGCAGGCCCAGCACAGCCAGCTCAGCTCCCCAATCAGAAAATCCAGATCCGTTCTTCCAGCCCCACTGCAGTGGCCCCTCCTGGGCAGGGGGGCTCTCACTTCCCCTGCTCGGCCCCTGCAGGATGGGCATGGGGCTTCTAAGAATCTTCAGTCCACCCCATGCCCCACGGGGATGGTTCCCTGGGGCCGTGGGCCCCTCCAAGGCCCCTTCCCACACCCGAGGTGGGCAGCCTTGGGTGACCAGCTTTCTTTCCCTCTGCCCCAGCCCCGGGGGGTTCCAGTGATGGGACAGGGCACCCCCCTCCTGCCAGCCTCCTCCTACTGGTGCCACCTACTCACCATCGGGACGCCCAGGCATGACGGGCAGCAGCAGCTGCAGGGAGGGCAAGCCCGTGGGGGTTGGTGGGGCCATGGGCTCTCTCAGGCTCGGCCTCTTCTTAGCCAGGGCCCCTCCCGGGCAGCACCCCACCCAGAGAGCCAGGACAAGGAGCAGCATGGTCTTCATGGCCACGCAGGGCGCGTGCGTCGGCAGAGAGAATGAATAGCTGGGAGCAGTGGGAGCAGTGGCCCTGGCACAAAGGGGAACCGCTGATGGCACCGGACAGTCCCGCTCCCTGAGCTCCTGGCCCTGGCTGCAGTGCTCTGAGCTGCCCCCACCTTAGACCGCCCCCAGGAAACCCCCTCCAAACACACCTCCCCAGGCCTTGCTCCCCACTTCCCCCAGCATCCTCTGCTCCCACCTGAGGAGAAAGGCAGATTGATTTTTTCTTGGGCCTCAGCGCTCTCGCTGCTTTCCCGTAAGGCCTGCGTTTATTCTTCACTGGCCCGGGCCCAGTAGCCCCCATGAATGAGGCTTCTGTCTCCGCACACAGCGGGCCTGTGAGGCCCACCGCAGAGCAGGCCGCCTGCCCGAGGCTGCCAGGTTCTACCTCCGCGGCTGGGAAAGGAGAGGGGCCGGGCCTCGGGTCCTCAGGAGAGAGGGCAAGTACCAGGCTACCTGGGCAATGGCGGCTCTGGCACTGTACGCCAATGCTGAGGACTCCCAATTCCAGGGGAAACAGACACGTGGGCAGAGCCATGGTAGTTAGATCCAGCCCTTTGAGCCACAAGGCGACCTGGGCATGGGCACTGGGGTGCACAGCTCAGCTCCTGGTCTTTCTACCAGCAGCTTGCCTACCTCTGGGCAGTGCCCTTTCCTCCAGGCCACTACTAGCTCCTTCATAAAATGGAGGGGTCCCAGCCCATGTGGCTCAGTGGTTAAGCATCAACCTATGAACCAAGAGGTCATGGTTTAATTCCCGGTCAATGGCACATGCCCAAGTTGCAGTTTCAATCCCCAATGGGAGGCATACAGGAGGCAGACGATCAATGATTCTCTCTCATCATTGATGTTTCTATCTCCTGCAACCGAGGTACATGCCCGTGACCGGAATCCAACCCGGGACCCTTCCATCTGCAGGCCAACGCTCTATCCACTGAGCCAGCCCAGATATGGCACCGTCCGTCTTTCTCTCTGTGCCCAGGTCTCACTTCTGCCTTTCTGCCCTCTCTCTAGGAGCTCCCATCCTCTTGTCACTGACCCCTCCAAGGCCCTGTGCTTCCCCTAGACCAGTGTTTCCCAAAGTGTGGTACGCGTACCCCCAGGGGTACGGAAGAATTTGGTGGGGGTACACGTTGCACCGGAGTTTGGTGGGGATATGCACTGCTCCGTGCTTAGCTGCGCCTAATTCTACGTTCTCATGAGTACGAGTTTCAGCGTTACGAAAATTATAGAAGGGGTACACATATGTCAAAAGTTTGGGAAACACTGCCAGATTGGAAGCTCTGTGAGTGCAGGGAGAGGCCATGTGCACTGCACACAATGCCTGGCCCGCAGCAGGGGCTCAGGAATGTTTGATGAGTGAAGAATCCATTCTCCAGTCCCCCTGAAGACAGTGGCTACACTGGGATCTGGGGCTCTTGGCCAGGAAGTCTGGGGATACCTGTGAGGTGGCCTTGCTCAGGCCACTGTCAGGCTGCCCAGGCCGGGGGTCCCCGAAGAGATGGCAACCCCTGGTCCACACACACTCCAATCTGGGATGGGGGCACAGCCCTGTGGCTCAGAGGGCCACCTATAGGTCAGGATGGGACAAGATGGAAAGGACGCCAGGATGGAGCAAGCATCAAAGAGGGTGTCTGACCAAGGCCCAGCGCCAGTCCTCAGAGGGCCCCATCCCCAAGCCAAGGGCAGGCGGGGAGTGGGAGACAGCCAAGAAGCTGGGCTCACCACAAGGCTTCTCAGGGCCAGCGTTGAGGAAGCTTTTCCTACAGCTCCGTCCAGTGTTGACTTATGTTTGGAAGCGATCTCAAAAAATGAGTTAATTGTGGGCAAGGCTGGGATGCAGGAGAGGGTGGGGGAGGCGGATCAGGGCTGGGAAGAGCTGTAGGGAAGGAGCTTCCCATCACCACCTGGGTTCAAGGTCTCGGTCTGGGGCCACATGGGAGTGCATGAGACCTGGGAAAAGTTGGAGAGTGGTCAGGGTGGGGTGTCCCTGGCAAGTGGGCCCCTCAGCCTCTGCCCACTTGGATCGGGGTAGCAGTGAGATGGACAGCATGCAGGGTACAGCAGGGACACCCCATCCCCTGTCCCATCCAGGGCTCTGGCTCACAGCCTGAATCTGGGACCATGCCACACGCAGACTAGAGACAGGGACTGGGGAGTAAGCATGAGCAAGCACCTTGGGAGCCCAGGATGAAGCCGCCACGTGCCTGTGTGCTCATGGGTGACACGGGATGTCCGGGGCTGGCAGTCTGCTGGAGATGGGGGAGGGGGGCACTTAGGCAAGGGAGGCTCCGGTGTGACTTGGAGACTCATCAAGATTTGCGAGATTTGCAAGATTTACGTAGGAATCCTGGAAGACTGAGCCATCCACCCCCCCCCCCTTCCCGCAGCCACCCCCATCCACTCCCTCCATCCCTGACCTTCAGGACAGAGAAGGAAAGAAGAGGGAGCCTGTCTCATCTAAGTCAGATGCCAGAGGCCAGGCCTCCTGTCTTTCCCTGAGGTGGGCCCTTGGAGACAACTGTGGTGGGAGTCCCGACCCTCCCCCTGCCTGAGGATGGATTCTGGAATCCTGCCCCCCAACCCATTTCCCCTGTTCGCTGCTCCCCAGGCGCTGACTAAACATCCTGCCATCTGGTTCCCATTAGCTGGGCTGGGGGTGGGGGAAGTCTGCTCCCAGGTTCTTTGGCACAGTGGCCCGGGGAAGGGAGGGACCCTTGCTCCTACCCACCTAGGCAGGAAGGGGCGATGCCTGGCCGCTCACTTCCCCAGCTCCTGGGGGAGTCCTGTCCCAGATGCCCTTCCCCCGAGGGGGTCCCAGTGGCCACCTACTTTGCCCTGTCTCAGGGTGCCCAGCCATCGTGGGGACCTTGAAGAGCCAGCTTGTGGGGGTCTGGGCAGAACCGGAGGAGCGTTCACGTGCCTGCTCCTCTTGCACACATAGCTCACTCGTGGACTTGGGCTGAGGCAGGCAGGGCCCCTGGCCAGCACTACCCGAGCCGGTGTCTGGAGCACAGGGTGGGAGAGTGTCGACATTTTCCAGGAACACGATGCAGCCCAGGGTTGCTGGAAAGAGTTTTGGGCTCCCAGCTGTCCCTGGACGGACAGGCCATTTCATGTCAGGAGTAAGCCTCCCTGCTCAGGGCCTCAGTCTCGTCATCTCAGTGTGGTGGACATGGGCTCCTTAGAAAGTTCTAGAATCCGAGAGCTGGAAGAGGCCTAGAGAAATGGCATTAGCTGATCGAGGTCCCTTCTAGCTGCACAATCCCAGAATTCTAAGGGCAAGGAAGAGACGCCAGCTCTTTTTTCCCCGCTGCCCTTCCCTTCCATGTGACCCACTGTCCAAACATGCATGCACACTCAGCACAAGTTGGGACTCAAATTGGCAGCTCAGAGGATGTCAAAGCAACATTCTTTGTCCCTTGGGGCTTCTTAGAACTTCACAGCTGAGTCCTCTCCACCCACCAGAGGAGGACTGGAGAATGGATTCTTCACTCATCAAACATTCCTGAGGCCCTGCTGCAGGCCAGCTCCCTGCATAGCCAGCTGCCTGCACTCACAGAGCTGACAGTCTAGTGGGGAGCACAGGGACCCCATTGGGAAAAAAGGGGCTGGTCACGATGATTGGAGGGAAGGGCATTTCTGACAGGGGATCATATGAGGACAATGAGAAAGTGACATCAGGATGGAGATATCAGTGAAAAGGAGATAGATAGCCACACGAAAGGAACTCCAGCAAAGAGCCCTCCAAAAAAGGAGGGGCAGCCAGTGCAAAGGCCCTGAGGCAGGAAAGTTTGGGACCCAATGTGAGAACCAGCAAGGGCCCACCAGTGTGGTGGAGCATGCTAAGTTAGAAGTGAAGTTCATGAGAGCAGGCTAATTTTGCCTTTTGTTCTTGAAGGAAACAGGGATCTACTCTGGACTTCTTTTTTGAAATCCTCACCCGAGGGTATTTTTTCCATTGATCTCTAGAAAGTGGAAGGGTGTGTGGAGGGGAGAGAGAGAGGGAGAGAGAAACATCGATGTAAGAGAAACACACCAATTGGTTGTCTCCCACAAGTGCTTCTACCGGGGCTGGAGAACCTGTAACTGAGGTACGTGCCCTTGAATAGGAATCGAACTCATGACCCTTCGGTCCCCAGAGGCCAAAGTTCTAATCACTGAGCCAAACTGGCCAGGGTTCTACTGAGGATGTACTTACTAGTACATGATCTCATCTTATATAATCCTATGTAATAAAAGGCTAACATGCAAATCGACCAAACAGTGGAATGACTGGTCACTCACTATGACATGCACTGACCACCAGGGGCAGACGCTCAATGCAGGAGCTGCCCCCTGGTGGTCAGTGCGTTCCCACAATGGGTAGTGCAGCTCAGCCAGAAGCTGGGCTCAGTGGTGCAGGAGCCTCTCCCACCTCTGTGGCAGTGCTAAGGATGCCCGACTGCTGGCTTAGGCCCGGGAGGAGTGGGCCTAAGCCGTCAGTCAGGCATCCCCCAAGGGCTCCTGGACTGTGAGAGGGCACAGGCCAGGCTGAGGGCTGCTTGCCTCCCTCAAGTGCAGGACTGGCCCAGGGTGGATACTGCGGGTGGAGGAAGAGGGTAGAGTCAGAATTTTGGGCCAAGTGAGCCTGGGTTAGAAGCTGGGAGTCCAGTTCGCCCCTTTCAAGGGTGAGGCTGGTGATTAAGACAGACAAGCAGAGACGTCTAGAAGGCAGTTCCATGTGTGAATCTGGAGTTCAGGGCTAAGGTCTGGGCTGCTTGTCCTGCCCTTCTATGATTCGTCATTTGACAAGTGCATCAAACACCCTACTGGGTGTCAAGCGTTCTGTCAGGGCCCAGGCCAGATGCTGGCTCTGCAGTCAGAGACATACCTTTGTGGTGACCCCCAGAGCATGGTAGCGAGCATGCTCTCTCTCTCTCTCTCTCTCAACATTAAAAAAATTTTTTTTTTTACATTAAGTGTGTACTTTTATTTATTTATTTTTAATTGTTTGAAGTATAATATTACAAATAGTGGTACATATGTCTCCTTCCCCCCCATCCCCCAATTTACCTCTTCCCAGCCTCTCCTACCCCCCAGTACATGCCCTCACCTGACCCCCCCCCCCTCCAGTGTCTTGCATCCATTGGTTATGCCCATATGCATGCGTACAAGTCCTTGGTTGATCTCCTACAGCCCCCTCCCCAACCTTCCCTGCCTTCCTGCTATAGTTTGGCAGTC